AATTAACTTCAAATTGCTTTGACAAAGTTAACCACAAAATGCTTTTTCTCCGGACGATTAAATTAACCTCAAAATGCTTTGACAAACCTTGACAAAATTAACCTCAAAATGCTTTCTTCCCTGACAATTGAATTAACCTCAAAATACTTTGATAAACTTTGACAAAATTAATCTCAAAATGCTTTGACAAACCTCGACAAAATTAACCTCAAAATGCTTTCTTTCCTGACAATTGAATTAACCTCAAAATACTTTGATGAACTTTGACAAAATTAACCTAAAAATGCTTTGACAAACCTAGCCCTGTTTAACGGCCGGAATGAAAAAGTAACGATCGCTTAATTCTGATGCAACGAGAGAAAGAGAGAGAGAAAGTTTTTATCGGTTGTTAAAAGCCACGGCTAATTAAGCCACTGATCTGCGGTTGTGAAACACGCGTGTGACTGATAGGGAACTGTTATGTTCCATTCACGTTCGCGGTGTATCGAATATATGTTGAAATCTCACAATGGCTTTCTCTCGCCCCTGGTTCCAAAGACCATTCAGTTAATGAAAGCGGATGGCTAGACGAAAAAGAAGACGAGAAGAAACACTCACACTCTCTCTCTCTCTCTCTCTCTCTTTTCTCTCTCTTTTCGCCGCTCTAAAGATAGCACTTCCTCCTTGAAGACGCGCAAGCACTTTTTGCGCTTAAGCCGTACATTTGTGTCGGCGTTAAATCGAGTTCTTTTCACCGATGTTCTCAACTTCATTTACTCGGTCCAGACGAAACTTTCATTTTACAATTATTAACCAAAACTATTTTCCTTCTCCTCGTCTCTGCACGCGAACGAACAATTACGATTGTAAAGAAACTGTCGATCGATGGTAAGATACAGCTTGAAAACATAGATACGTGTACGTACATGGTTTCCGACTTGAAAGATACTGACCAACTGATAATAGACAATGCTAGCTGATTTTCCATTAGCAGACAGATTAAACTTGAACAACCAGAGATCTATTTGAAATTACTCGGTTTATTCGGTTAAACTGCAAAGTTTAACCTTTTGCGCTAGTAACTGTGCACGGACCATAACGAGTGACCAAACCGTGTACAACAATTCGTCTTCTTTTCGAATTCATCGGTATGTCACTGGATACAAATTACTACGAATTGTAAGTAATTATAAATCGTAATATTTATAATTATAAGTAATTATAAATCGTAATATTTATAATTATAAGTAATTATAAATAATATTAAAATAAATAAAGCGTTTATTTAAAGGTTTATAATTATAAATAGTAATATTTATAATTATAAGTAATTATAAATAATATTAAAATAAATAAAACGTTCATTTCAATTATTAAATACAAAGGATAGAAATTACTAGGAAGTAATAAATTTATTATTTATTTTGCCTGGGTTATATCTCAATATACTTAAAACTGAGAAAATATTGCAATTTGGGGACAAATATTTTTGACACGTGTGTGACACGTTACTTCAGCGCAAGAAGTTAAAACGTGTATAAGGATCGATAAGACGCGAGATTGAAAGCAGATACACATGACACGTTCCGGAAGAAAGTTTTCCCTCATCGTAATGGAATTATCGAGCGTGTTGGCGTACGATTATTTTTCTTTAATTTCGATGTAAATATTATCAACCTCGAGGTTCGGCCATGCCCGGGCAGAAATCGAACCGTCAAGTTCCATCAGTGTCGGTTACCGATGCGCTGTTAACAGGTAACTTTTTTCGAGGGCAGGTGGTCGCGAGCAGGCACGCGACAAATCAAACTGACCGAGACACGAACGGACTGCGAGCCTGTAATCTTTTCCTCCACTGAAAACGACATTGAATACGTTTCGGTGTTTCGTCAAATTTAAACGGATGGAAGATATCGTTCTCGATATATATAAAATTATGTAATAGTATTTTTCTGGTTTGTTATAACAAACAACAACCATAACGAGATTTCATAGACAAATTTTCCGTAATAAAAAGATCGTTCAATTTCTTCAATTTCCACGGTTTCGAGTTCGGTGAATTAATATCGACGGCCTCGTGGCCCGGGTGTAGTTTAACCGCGACTAGTCTCTAAGTTTAGTTAGTCTAAAACGTAACACAACCCACCAAACTAGTTCTGTACTCGGCGAACGTAACGTTCTCCGAACACCGTGTATTGTATCCAAAGATCGGCCTCGCACACATACAACACACGCATACGTACCCGCTGCTGCAGAGCAACGACTGTGAGCGCCTTGCCTTCTGTATTGCTAACGAAATAGAGGGAGAGAACCTATTCCCTATGAATCGTTTCAATGTTCGTTCGCGCCTCTTTCTTGCAACCCGGCTTCTAAACAAGCCGGGCCGTTCTTCTCTCCGGTCATTCTTTGCCACATTTTTGCCTGCCATTATATTTCAAATTTCCTCCACGACTCCTCGCCGCCCGTGCTTTCTGGGAATTTAAACTGCATCGGCGCGATGATTTTTATCTTTGCGCTTTATAAAGCGTCGTTTCGTCGCTTTCGCCACACGTGAAACGTGTCTATTATTTATCGTCGCGTCTCGAGAGACAGGCACGAATGCGACAGTGATTTATCTTACCGACACAGACCTGCGATTACAACTGCGAGTGTGATCTGTCTTACTATAGTTTAAAAATGGTACTCTTTGATTTTTCCGACTCTCTAAATAAATTGTTAGCAAATAAAAATGCACGGTTCGGATTTGCTCGATTAACACTAGAACTACCGAAGCGGTCAAAATGACCAATTTATAATTGTTTAGAGCAATTTCGCGGATTTACAAATTTTTTTAGAAATTCGAGTGGTTTTTTGCAAGATGTATGAATAAAAGTTCGTGTTCATCGTCGTGTTATCAATCTTTTTCTATTCCTTGCATTCTAATTTGTTGGACTCGATTTTTATACTTTAGTCTTCGGTAGTTCTAGCGTTATATGGCCGTTGTTGCACATGACGAGTGTGAATTGTTAATTAATTCTACGAACGCATCGGAGATGAAGTTGCACGACAGTATTTTCACGACGTAAATTTTAATCTCGCGTTGAAGCCAGTGGCCAATCGTACGTCACCCCGCCTGTAGACGCGACCTTGACCACGTTTTTTAGGCGGGAGAATCACCGGCGTACGGGCGTCGAGTCGTTTCTAGTCAAGTGTCGATCTAATTTTTTCCGGACAACGTTGAGATTCGGTATTTTCACTCGAAATATAAAATGATTATTTATTTTAGATAATCATTTCCGTGACTATCGACAAACTACATCGTGTACGTAGAAAAGAGTAACTGCGTTAATCAACGTAGTCTTTGGTAGTTCTTTAACCCTTCGCGCTAGCAACTGGTTCGCGGACCATAACGAGTGACCGAACCGTATACAATAAATCGTCGCGTTCCTTTCCTTTTACTCACTCGTCGGTATATCACGTCGGATAGAAATTATTAAGAAGTAATGAACTTATCATTCGTTTTGCCTGGGTTATATTTAAATATACTTAAAACTGAGAGAATGTTGCAATTTGGGGCAAAAAATTCTCGACGTGCGTGGCACGTCATTCCAGCGCAAGAGGTTAATCTCCGATTCTCGAACGCAGCCATCTTACGCCATTGACGAACGAGACAGTTTACATAATTTAGTTCACACGCCGTACTTCGGAATCGAATTCTTCTATAATCAATTACGGTTCGCTTATCGATCACGCGGAATTCTTTCCGAATGCTCAAATTATCGTTATTATTACCGAAGTGAAGCGAAGCTAGCAATCGTATCGATCAAGTTTGAGAGTATGTTGGCTGCGATGTTGAACGATTATCAGAAACTTATCTCAAAGGCGAAACCCACACGCGTGACCTTGCCGGTATAACCGCCATCTTGCCGATGCGTGCGCCTCACCACCACGTGGATAAGTTTTCCACACGACACGAGAGTACTCCGCAAAGTAGTTTCTATATCTCGCCGACGTTTTTAAGAGGAATGTAAAAAGCACGATTCGTCGATTTCGCTCGAAATTTTCCCCGTACAATCCCGCGCGGGAAAAGAGCGTAAGAGCATTTGATTCAAAGTTGTAAATCAGAGAATTCGCGGGAGAATTAGAGTATACTCGAAAGAAACGGAAAAACGAATTTTTTTTTTTTTTTTTTGATGGACACATTTTCGAGGCCGCACCCAGAGGCTCTCAAACCTAAACGATTCGCAGTGGCAATTAGTTCAAAGCGGTCACTTGCGAGAAAATCACGAAACAAAGTCACAATCAAATTGTTTTCCAATTGGACTGATCAAAGTGAACAGAAAGTTTGTACAATTAACAATTAGTCGCCATTGAACATAACTGACGATCAATTCGTCGAACGACACGATGAAGTTGTCTATTATTTACACATGTAAAAGTACATTTTAATAATTATATATATATGGCATATGATTATGTGAATTAGGGTAGGGTTGACTATATACAGGATACCGATCATTTGATCGAGGTGGGAAAGTAAATGTAAGCAGCAAATCGTGTAAAGCGTATATATATATACAAGCGTGCAAATGTTCGTATATTTCTACTTCAAATATCTTACAAACTAGTTGAAAAAAGCGTGTAAAAAAAAGCGTGACGATGTCAACGTATCGTGTGCAGGTACGCAGACGAAGCTTTGTCGAGGGCTTTGTACAAAAAACGAGTGGACCTCTCTGCTCGCAGGCGGTACCTAAAATATAACATTACTCGAAGCAGCAAAAGCATTTTTACAGTGACTAAATTAACAAAGTGGAAGGCTCCGTGTCCCGTGCACTGCCCCTTGCCAAGATTCTTCTTCGTTCGGGTAACGTGACCCAGCAGGCCCTGTGATAATAGCAGCAGCAGTAAACATGGTAAAACAGCGTATTTTACAAAACACGTTGCACGTTAGCAACGACCAATAGAACTCGAAGCATAGCGACATAGCGAAGCGAATGTTTTCATCCAACGTTATACCAACGTCTGTACCGTGGTTCTGAACTTACCGTTAAGTTTGTCGATCGCACGATCCGCCACAGATTGATCGGTACAGTCGACGAACGCGTAGCCACCTCGTTTCACCAGGATCGTCGTGCACGATAAATTATGATCCTGAAAGAGTTGCCTGAGGGCACTCTCGTTACAATCCGACGGCAGATTGCCCACGTAGAGCTTCGACATGGTGGTTGGCTCGCTCTTGGACGCTATGGTGGCGGCTTTCCCCGAGATGCGTGTCCCGGTCACGTGGCTCGAACGAATTTGCTGCTCGGGTTGGCGGCACGCGGCTGGACGATGCGACCGTTCGCTGACGATGTTGCCCGCGGAGCACACGTCAACGAAGATGCGCGATCACGTCGCGATAACGATTACAGATAACCGAGTATATCTCGCACTACGAGACCCGAATGTGAGGAAAATCGCGGACGAACTCAACACGATGACACGATCACCGCTGACAACACGTCCGGGACGGAGGGGAGGGCGGATCGCAGCTATCCCCGATGTACAAGACGAATACAGACGACGACGACGATCTTGGAAATCTCCCGTTATCACACAGGAGAAGAAAACGAACACGAGAGCGCGCTTTCGTCAGAGTCTCTTCCGTGGCCTGTTTTTTTTTCGGTCTGAATTTTCTACTGCTGTCTCGACGTCTCTCAGCGGACACGATCTCGGCGTGATACTCGGCGTGATTTTCGCGCTTGCACACCAAAAATGAAGAACGAAAAGGAGGACACAGGAGGTTTATCGTATTAACTTCTCTTGAACGATCTTCCAAGCGTTCCTTGGCCGGGTGCTATCTTTTGTTTTCTCCTCTCTTCGTTTCCTTCGGACCCCGCTGTCTGTTTCCCGCTCGCTTCGAGATTCAACAGACTCTCTGTCACGTCGACTCGTGGCACCGGTGGTGGTACAGTGGTTGGTTGGTTGGTTTGGTACTGGTAGTTAAGACTTGGCGTGCGTTTCCGGTGGCAATGGATGTCTCTCGAGCCAGCTCGATCATACAAACCGACGGAGGGAAGATCACGGCAACCGGCGAGAGCTGCGACAAACTACGATCGTGCCTTCTGAGAAACGACTCTTCAACTTTTTTAAGGTTAAGGGACACACGAGCGTTCTCTCTCTCCCGGGCGATTCACTGTGCGCGCCTACCGATTCCTTCCCACCTCTCTTCGTTTCCTTCTCACACTCTCTCTCTCTCTCTTTTCTTTCTTCTTCTTCTCTCGTTGCGACGACGGCGACGCACCTTCCTACCAGGCTCTTGTCTCTTTGGCTAGACCACGACACGACGTTCGAGGGACTCTCTCTCATTTTCCTACTCTCTCGCCCTCCACGACCCTTTCTCTCTTCCGCTTCTTCTCTCTTCTCGTTCGCTCTTTCGCGTGTCCTGGGGGGGCAACGCGATGCAAACTCGTCACTCTTCTCTCTTCTTCTTTTTTTTTCCTTTCTTTCTTCTCCTCTCCTGCTTCCTCCTTCTCGCTCGCGCTCGCGTGTACTTTCTTGTTTTTTTTTCCCTCCTTCCTTGGCTATCCGTCCTGCTCCAACGTCCAAGAAGCTCGCGGCCGCCAAGCGGGAAACCGACTCGAAATTCGCGAACGCGTCGTCGTTCATTGGCTCCGGCGACACCACGTGGCTGCCCCACCGACTCCCGCCTCTGCTCCCGATTGGTCGGTTTTCGCATGCCGGTTTTCGCAGCCGGCAACGTGCCTGTCTCTGCGTGCACGTTCGCTTTCGCGTGCATGCGTGCTCGCTCGCTCGTTCAGGTTGCGTGTGCACGCACACGATCGTGCGTGTACGCGAGTAGGAAACGCATGTACGCGCGTGTGAGCAGCGACGGCGTACACGCGCGGGCGCAGCCACGTTTTCTCTTTCTCCCGCCTTCTCGTCGTCGTTTCCTCACTCTTTCCCGCTGTAGCACGTGTTCGGTTCCTGCAGGAATCTACCGGGTGTTTTCGGCGAACGGTAGCATGGTTAACAAGTTCCTTGCTCCTGCCGTTCCGTCTCTCTTTGGTATTCATATTGAAAGATCCTCGTACGAATCCTAGCGAGCGTCCTTTCCCCCCCTCCCCCTTTCTTCTTTTGCTAAGCGCCGCTGGACATGATGAGACCGGCGAATGAATCTAAGATGCCTATCTTCGCGTTCCTATTTGCATTTTGTACAAACGGCCGCGTGGAATCTAACAACCATTTTCTAGCCTGCGCTCTATTACGATTTTATTCTCGCCTCTTGCTATTTTCGACAATTCGCACAAACGATCTTGCATCTAAATTTATGTTAGGTTTAGGTTATCGTATACCTATATCGTACTTCTATATCCCGAGAGTTGCTGAAATTGATTACACGTTCGAGTGACGATCGTTTCTTGTCATTTTTGCAACACGATGCTATTTACGATCGATTTAAATGCTAGAGACTGACCCGTTCGTCAAGTGGACAGGTAAGAAATTTCGTTATGTGTGAGAAAATACGCGGTAGAATTTTATGGAGATTGGGATTATGGACAGCCTTGCCTGCGATACCACTCTGCACACTATGCAGGGATAGACAAATTCGTTCTTACGTTAGAGCAGTGCCATGTCTACAAAGGGGTGGAGTGAGACAGCTGCCTCGGTGTGCCCAGGGTCAGGGTGCTCAGTGTAAGAGGTTGGAAAAGGAAAAAACGATGCCCATGTTGCTTCTTTTCACCTGCCTTCTACCTACGAGCAACGATTAATTATCTAGAGCTGCTTTTTTTCTCCGTGATTAGTTAGGAAGAGTCAACTGGATCTTTGCAGCTGAATGAAACTGCAGTGCCATTTTTCACGAGTTACCTACTCACACGCGGAAAGATGAAACGTGGTGGAACATACATTTGTCCATTGAATCAAAGGATATGGCAAATTGATCGACAGATTCTTTGCTCGTGAAACGAATCGATGTGTCCTCTGCAGCTGAATGAAATCATTTTTTCACGAGTCACTATACACCTACATATATGTATAAAGTTGGTAACGCGTAACGCAGAATATAGAATGTAAATATTCGTTCGTTTAATTAATCGAGGGACTGGGAGGGAAGGATGTGGATAAATCAATTAGTGGATCGTTGGTTGAAAAATAAATAACCAGAAGGTGTAGGATATATTTTTATCGGAATAAAAATTATGTTCCCGAAATGGAGGATGAATACAGAACATAGTCGGCTACGTTTCGGCGTGCCATCCGGTTTTCGTGTTCCCCTACGTACCCCTCCCAATTTTAGAACGCCTATTCCGACCCTCCGGTAGCTTAGAACTATTCGATTACCCCTGTCCACCGTTTAATGGGGGCGTCCTTAGAGACGTATGCAGAGGAAACTTAGCCACAGGATATTATAAACGTTCTTCGTTCTGGCGTCGTCTAGGCAAAGCAAATATAAATATTTGTCACGTTTTCCTTTCCGATTGGCATTATCTCTTCCCGTTGTTTGTATTTATCTATATGCTATATTCTAATGGCTGTGAACGATGGTTTAAATTTCTGGCGTAACGTTCGAAGTCACGATGATCAATTTTCAAACAGCACGGTAATCGGCGAACGTATGGAAATTATGTCGAAATTGTATAGACGTATGTACGTTCATCCTGTACCATTATCTGTGAAATCCAATTTTCGTTCATTTCGATTTCTCTCGAAACTTCTCATTTCGTGTTATTCTTTCCTACTTTTTTTTTTCATATCTTTTCTCGAGCGTTATACGCGAGCCTAATCACTGTTACGTGTAATTTGAATATAGTTTCAACAATGCTACCAACCTAGCTCTTTCAAAACAGCAATATATATTTCATGAACGATAAGTGGCAATCTAGCGAAATGTCTTATTCGATAGTTTTCACTTCCATTCTTTCTCTGCCAATTTGACTTTTTTTTTTATCCCGCTGTTTAATTAGCCTAATTAATTAAATTAGCCTAGTAGACGTAACCAACTTTCTAGATGATATTCTTCGATAATGCTATGCTTATTTTAACACACTATGGTTATTTCGTTACCTCTTATAATTGTTTGTTTTTCATTACTTATTTATTTTGTTTTTCATCTTTCTTATTTTTACAGTATCGAATTTGTTATCTCTCTTTCTCTCTCTCTCTCTTATTTGTGTAATATCTACTGCTTGCACAATATGTTCCTTTCCTCTCGCTGATCCTTTACAAATAAAGGGTAAAGGGAATAGGAAAACCCAAATAACGGGAAATGAATTGGAAAGCTGCTGCGACGTTCGTCCCGGGTTCGCAGCTGCTACGCAGTGTACACATTATGTGATTTTACTTTGGTCGATTCGAAACGTACGTACAATCTGCATCTGTGGTCTGCCATATGTATCCACGCGATGCATCTCGGGGAACGGATCACATTTTTCTTAAAAGAGATTTCGATTTAGGCTTGTAGGCTTAAATTTATATCTTACGCATTTATATCGCGCGTTGCAGTACTAAAAATGCACGTTTCTCTTAAAGATGTATTTGTGGCTTTGGGGATAGAAATACCGATCGGTAACATGTCTTCTATTTTTTTTTAATAAGGATTTAGATGTGCGCGAGTACTTCTCCTACTTTACATCGGAAAGAATTTTTGCTGGTAATTATTACTCTGATACACGATACAAAATGCAGTGACGGTTAAAAAAGAGAATTGAAACAATTGATTCGAAAGGCGTGGAAGCGTATGAAGAGTCGTAAAAACACGGCAATCACTACGACAGACAATTAATTTTAACGTACTTTACGTCGGCCTTGTACGTAAATACAAATAGTTTCAGCCGTGATTTAGAATAAATTACCATCGCGTCCAGCCAGTCGATAAGTTAGGATTTAGGAGATCTCTGACTTGCCAACGCAGTAAGTAACTGTCGTTTCCAACGAGTGAAATTTTGCCCCGTATTTGTCGCTAGGGGGTTTCGTAAACATTTCAACGAAAAAGTTCCCTCGAATGACTCGGAAATTGTCAACAAATTATCATTTTATAATGCAAAAAGTGCAATCGCAGTGTCTCGTGTTTCTATAAGAATAGCTTCTTCCTTTCAGAAAAAACTGTTGCCCATATTCTGGTGAAAAATAAAATAGTGTCTCACAAATGTAATTATCGCAGGTATGTACGATAATATTTAGAACCAATTGTTCTCGCATATCAGGGTGTCAACAATTATATATTATAAGAATCATGAAATCTCGACCTAACCTAAATCTTTGCGCGAACCCGAGTGAATTTTCCGTATTTTTCAAGACGCCAAGAACAATGTCAGTTCAGTTAGATGTAAAATATGCTTTTCAAATATCGAAGGTAGATCAGTGTCTTTATACTTCGACGATATTTCCTCGTTCGTTAACCGTTTTCTGTATTCTACCGCGTTGGAACAATGGGATTCGGACGAGTGACGCTCAAAGTTTTCGTCGTGGCAAGATCTAATCTCTCAGAGTTGGCTACACCCTCGCAGTCAGCTCGTCTCGTAGACAATTTGAAGCAGCCTGTACCAACAGCCTAATGAACAGTTGGTTCCTATTGGTAGAAGGCGCCCGCGTTTAGCCCTCGTTATGTTACGGTAGCGCAGCTGGCATTGCCCCGGATGGCCTCCCCCCGATTCCCCTCTCCTATGCCCCTCTCCTCCCCCCTCCCGCTCCCATCTCGTGCCCCTTCTTATTTCTCTAGCGATTCTAGGCTTGGCGGCCTAGAAAACTATTCCCTCGCAGCGATAAATCGCCACGCACGTACGAATAATCCGATGAAATACGGAGCTGCACACGGTCATTACATGGGTGTTTCGCGGCCGAAATCTCTGGCGACAGTTTTTCTCTCACTTCCACATCTGTCTTTTCGAACAAGATTCGCGTCGGCCCGTGGAAAACCGGAGGCAGTCGCTCGCATGCCCCGAGCAGGAAACAAGCGTTTCCACGGAACGAGATTTATGTACGAGGGTCGAGAGATAGAAAAGAAAAAATCGTTCCAAGTTCGAAATTTCGAACGATCGGTCGTAGCTCTAGAGATGATATTCGCCAACCTTTCTGAACGTTTCAGACGTCTAATTTCTGAATATTCACACGTCTTGAAATTTTTCTATCTTTTTATTTTCAGATCTTCAGTTTCAGACGAGAAATATTATTTATCTTCGTTCTCGCTTTTTCTTGTTCGTTTCTGGATATTTCATTTCTCATTCTTATCTTCTCTTCCGTGACTCGAGACAAGCCGGATGTCAGATTATCGGCAAGGAAAATCTGTTACTCGAGAAGACACAGATGATGCACTTTGACCATTTTTTTTGAACATCTTCGTCACACCCTCTGTCACGTGGATTTCCCCGAAATGGATTTTCTCGGAAATTTTCTCCGGCTAGTTTCGGGCTAGGCTACAAGATTTTCTAGTTTCACGGCGTGTCTCTAGCCAGGCAGCTGCAGCTGTTACGAATGCCGTGGTAACAAGCGTGTCCAAAGGATCGAGGAGGAATCCATTATTCCGCCGTGAAATCGTAGGGAAAAGGATGACGTTTCAGAAAAAAAAAACCGATTATTTCATGGACGAATCCTTGCGATGACAATATACCCAGGCTTACCGTGAGTAAACTCCTCTCTTCTATTTTTTATTCTATCCTTGCAATTTTTGCAGTTTGTCCCTTCTTGCAACGTTTGTAATCTTTTCCATTTGCTAATTGTATTCCAGTATTGTCATTAACTACTAGTAAATCTGGGTAAATGGATCTTTGCTTTCAGATGAACAGCTGACTTCGTTGCGTCGTTTATGATCAAGAACCGATATTCTTTGTTATTCACATGATTACCCAAATAGACAATACATTTATTAGATTGCTTTTGGTACAAATTGGGGTACAAAATCCATGACGAGATTCACGATTCGTTCTCTACAAGCCAAAATCATAGAAGCGTAATCTTCCAGTTGTCCAAGGGTATAATCAAAGAATTATGCTACATTTATTATACTATACACTATACTACTATATTTATTTAGTTTACAGAACTTTTATTCGAACAGGGCAAGACTTTCCACTTTGGAACTTATTCAAGTAAAAATATTGCAACACTGGCTGTTGCAACTCTGCTATACTATACTAATTGTACTATACTTAACACTGTTGTACTATACTGTACTAGCTGTACTATACTATACTATGTAATATATAGATAATATATAAGATACTTTGACCAGGAATCAAAGTATGAATAGGATAGGATATATAACCACAGATAGAAAGAGTTTAGTACCACAGCAAGCACAAGCTAATATTACAACATTTTTATATCTATAAGTTCTCTTGTTCTGTGAAGTGTAATTACAGTACAACGTAACACCGTTGTCGATCCTTACACATCAAACAACAAACTACTGGATGAAACAAATACTTAATACGCGTCTTTTTTGGGACTGCAACAAACTGCAGTTGCAAGGAAGTCATTGTCTTGGGACGGTTACCTGTCCCTAAGGATTAGCATGCAGTTATTCCGGCAGATGGAGAATAGGAAAGTAGGAATAGCAACGATGTCTCTTGCGGTCATGCCGCGCTGAAATAGGACAATCGTTCGACATACCTACCGGAATTAGGATTCTAACGGTCACCGAATGGAAACGCCAATGTCACTCCTTTCCCAAGCATTTGCCTGCCTGGACATAATGACAGGGTGACAAAGGATAATGTGACGATCTCTCGACCGCAAGTCTACAATTTTCTATAATTTACTGTTAGCGTAGTTTTAAAATCTACGCTAGGAATTATCCAGTGTACCACGAGTTGCACAACACGTATTAGGAATTTTGGCAGATAATACAAGTATGAAGAATCGGTTGACATCAACGGAGTTATTATTGCGAGACCAGCGCATCCAGTTGAAAATGGCGTGCATTATAAACACACGGATCCAACCATGTTGCTCATGTACACGCGTACCTATATGTAGGTAGACGCGTACATGCACGTATGGTAGCTGAAGGGGCAGGTTTCGAGCACCAACCTTGGCAAAAGGGCCCAGCGTATAAATGGCGGCTGAAAATTCGCAAACTCGCCAACATTGTACTGATATTTGGCTTCTTCTGTATCATATCTATCTAAGGATAATTAAATCACCACTTGTTGGGTGGAACAAATTCTAAGACACGTTGCAATGAGTATTAAATATTTATTTAATTTAATTCCTAACAAACAAGAATTTGAACGAACAAAAGTTTTGAGATGCACACAATGATCCAATGTTTCATGATGATATTTAATATCTGTTGATGCGTTTTGTTTTATAATTTTTATTCCAATGATGTATTTGAGGTTGTACACGATTCCTTCCTGGGAATATTTAGTGTTCTTTATTGAGGAAAAATGAGGCTTATGCATTATCATCTGTAGCGTGTTTTCTGAAATTTTGACTTTCTATGATTCATAAGAGAGACATAACAGATTGTTGTTTTGTCGTCAGAGTGAGCAAATAATTACGAGGGTATACAATTTTTATCGTCACTGTTCTTTCTTATTCTCTCATCGGTTCTGTTGCATGTTTAATTCAAATTCAAATATTTCCATATAGATTTTTCTTTTCTTGATCGTATTCTTTTTTTTTTTTTTTGATCATTAAGTTTTGCTCTTAATTCAAACTGATATGGCTAGAAGGAACTTATCAGAGTACCACAGGGAACCACAAAAGACACAAGTTTATTCCGTTTATTACCAGTTGAAACGTACAAGAATCCACTACTCCATTTTTAGAAGTATTTATAGTTTATTTCGACCAAGGGCAAGAGAGTCTCATCGCAATTCTTATTAACCTTGACTAAGTTATCTAATAAACTGTTTCTTAGGGCATCGTTTGGATAACAATGTGTGGAAATCATCCGTCAGTGACGCATTCGGATAGATATTTGAGAAATCTTTTTTAACAACAATACCAAAGTGATATCACTCGATCGAAATCTCTTGGAATTTATCTCTATTTATAAAGATATTTATATAGATAAAGATAGTAAATTATACTGTAGTTATGGCAGATGGATCTGCGAACAAGATATTCGGTCAGTGACGCGGAGGGGGGGGGGGGGGAGATGGCTTGTCGTTGCATCCCTCCTTTTGTCCACGAATCCACGGTGTGCATCGTTGCATCGCTTTGTTGCATGCAACTCGTCGGAAACTCGTGGGGAACCAACAACGGACACGCTCTGCATGGAGGGAGTGCCTCAGTGGAGGGGTGACGCGTGCAAGTGGGGGGTAATGCACTTTGCACGCTCGAGAACTGCGGTTTTCAACCGCCATGAGACATTCGTACGGTATTTTCAAATACCGGCTAGGGAGAAACTACGAAGCTTTTTCTCTATTCAAATTTCCTGGAAAAATGCTTGATAAGCAAGCGGGAAACTGGCTTAAAAGAAAACTCGGTTGTTACGTCCTGTAGAAAACTCCATCGTGCATATTGATGATCTAAGAACGTTTGTGATGTACCGACGAATTCAAAAAAGAGGGCTAATTATTGTATACGTATTTGGTCACTCGTTATGGTCCGTGAACCAGTTACTAGCGCAAGAGGTTAACGCTGGAGTTAAAATTGAAGCATGAAATTTCCATCGGTGACATTGAAGTCCAGAAAATGGAGAAACGTTTTGATACAATGGAGATTGTGACAGACTTTTATTTATACATTTTGCAAACAATTATTTAAAACACACTGTTTTAATGTGTATTGTAAATGTAAAATGTGTAATTAGGGATAGCCGTAAGTAACGTCTTTTTTTGGTACTGTATGGAATTTTGTTTCATTTAAGAGTAAATACAATTAATCTATAATATAATCTGTAATATAATTTAACAACAAGCACATTAAATGTTAATTTATTTAACTAGAATAAAAGTTATATTATAATAAGTTAAATTATTGTCACCAAATGGCAATGTTTATTAAATTTGCAAAAAACGACATTACTTATGAGCACTCCTGATAAATTGCTTATTTTGTCCACTTTGGTGATTTAGTAATATAGGTTATGTTACAATAAGTTAAATTATTGTCACCAAATGGCAATGTTTATTAAATTTGCAAAAAACGACATTACTTATGAGCACCCCCGATAAATTGTTTATTTTGTCCACTTTGGTAATTTAGTAATATAGGTTATGTTACAATAAGTTAAATTATTGTCACCAAATGGCAATGTTTATTAAATTTGCAAAAAACGACATTACTTATGAGCACCCCCGATAAATTGTTTATTTTGTCCACTTTGGTAATTTAGTAATATAGGTTATGTTACAATAAGTTAAATTATTGTCACCAAATGGCAATGTTTATTAAATTTGCAAAAAACGACATTACTTATGAGCACCTCTGATAAATTGCTTATTTTGTCCACTTTGTTAATTTAGTAATATAGGTTATGTTACAATAAGTTAAATTATTGTCACCAAATGGCAATATTTATTAAATTTGAAGAAAACGACATTACTTATGGATACTTTTAATAAATTGCTTATTTTGTCCACTTTGGTACTTCCGGTTTGTTAATTCTTCAGTGGAGATTGCGCTGGAATGACGTGGCGCGCACGTCGAGAATGTTTTGTCCTAAAATTGCAATATTTACTCAGTTTTAAGTATATTTAAGTGACGACCCAGACAAAACAGATAACAAATTTGTTACTTATCCATAATTTCTATCCAGTGATATCATACCGGCGATTTCAAAAGAAAAAGAAGAAGCGACGAATTATTGTATACGACGTTGGTCACTCGTTACGGTCCGCAATCGGTTGCCAGCGCGAGTGGTTAAGTGAAAGGTAAACGTTCCAATCGTTGCAGACGATCCAGTCAGGCAGCTACCTAAGTCACCCAATCAAAGCCGAAGTGAAATAACGAAAAACCATCAAAGTGATGATGTAAGTTTACAGGCGTCCAGTGAATTTTGTTCGCACCTGTAGTCGCCAATTTGCTCGGTTGATCTCGCTTGTAAAATTAAAAGATCTCTCTCTGCCGATCGGCGGACTTCATTACGGATCCATGGCAAACGTTTATTGGCGGGACTTGTTCATGGTGGGGCAATGCACATTTACGCATGCCGCGCGCGAGGTCTTGCATCGTGCACCGCGTATGTATGTACATTTGGCGTCGTGTGGGTGAGGCACGATGGTGGGATACCGCGTTTACCGGCAGAGGGGTACTATGCACTTTAGCAGCGCAGCGCAGCGCGTGCAGCCGCGGCACTGCAACCGACATTGATACGCCATTCACGTTTCGTCACGTTGTTTTGTTCCTTCTTTCTTTTTTAACACATTCTTTTTTTTTAAATTATAATTCTTTTATGCGTATTTTTTCTATTAATAAAAATCAGACGCGTTCTAAAGTGATACTTACTATAGCTAAACGAATGATGAAGTGTCGGTCCTCGGAAAGAACAACGGACACAGTTTGTCGTACTTCCTCTATTTATTGACTTGAGATTACTCCAGAGTACAAACTTTAGAAAATTGTTTGTAATTGAAAAATTATTATATATATATATATTTAAATCAACTTCATGGGTTAGGTTTAGGTTAGGTTTGGGTTAGTCAGCGACAAGAGAAATTATGTTATTATACAATTTTATAGAACTTTTTATTCGTAACAAGAATAAATTGAACTCTGGAACACTTACTAATGTAAAAATGCTGCAATACTATATTATACTAACTGTGAATCCTTTTTGCCGCGTTCATACATCCTTTCTCTGATTTGTAACATGTTCCTGCCCAAAATATCTTTACTAAGACGACTCGTATATTTTCTAATTTCTTAACAAATGTGAAGTTTCTTTTTTTTTTCTTCTAAGAATAAGGATCACGCGGAAACGAATAATTCACGATGATCCACTCGTTGCAATTTGCTGCACTTTATCTCTTTATTTATTGATGCAAGATAAAGTTCGCTGGTCTGCGAAACGTTTACAGATAACGACACAACTAGACGCGCACTGCAGACTGAACCAACGAATGAGAGCTCGAGTCTTATATTTATATTTTATTTTTTATATTGATTATTAAATATCTTATGTTTTTCCGGATGTCACATCAGTGACAGTTCACGTCAGGGATGGCCAATTTGTCTCGTGACTTCTGGTGGCGCATGGAGCAAGTTTTGATAATAAATATAAGACATAAAAAAACGTGGAACTTAGTTTAATCATTTTCAGAATTGAGTCGATATATCGATCAATTTTCCTTAATTTTGTGAGTAAGTAAAAATTTACTATCCTCCTGCCTGTTTTCAAGTGACCTGTTGAGAACCGGTGAAGCTTTCTCAATGCTTCGAAAGTTTGCACAAAAGTATAATATGTCTTATTTGGGAATAGCTACAGATGCGAACAAGCTTTCCCCATGAAATTAATTAAGAACAAGCACCGATGAGAATTTAAAGAATTCGATGATTCTCGTTACAAGAGAGTTAAATAATTTGGTCAAGAGCAAACAGAATCGTGAATCCCTATTTAAAAGTAAGTTGTTTTGTCTTCTTCTAATGTCCTTCTTGTACGTTTATCATTCGTGAACACGTTTGGTTGTAAAGTAATTTAGGTGCATCGAAACACACTTCGGAAATATTTGGCCGCTGATTTACGTGTTCTTTTTAACTTCGATCGATATATTCGATGACATTTTCCAAATAATGAATCACTGTCGAGCTATCTGTCTCTATCTTACGACGAAGAAAGATTCTGCTCGCTTCTTTCGGACAAACATTCGGAAATTTGAATGTGTCGAACGACATTGATCGTAATTTTGTTTTGTTGTCGTATGAAATGTCTTGAAAAAGAAAGAGAAAGAAGAGAAAGATGATTGTTAGATGATTTTTAGTATCAATACCTATGTGAAGAGTTCGGTTTTCAGAAAATTAAGAATTCGTCCGGTGAGATGATAGTTTTAATTAATTTTGTTTCAAAAAGTCGCATTGTTGGACAGATAAATGTATTTATTTGTCAATTACGTTGTCACGTGCAAAGCTAACCTATGAATTACTATGAATTAATTTGTAAATTAAACGTTAATGCTAAACCATAAATTGACCATAATTAGTATAAAATAAATTACCAGAAAATTAATCGAAAAACAATTTGACAGCTATTATATTTCACAGATATTGCAATTAC